TCGGGGTGAATATTGCTGGTCTTTGTGTGATCCGCTCGTATCATAATTCAAAAAAGGAGAGCCATCGCAATATTTGCTTGATTCCGGAAAGTGCTCATGGCACAAATTTTGCTTCGGCTCTCTTGACAGGGATGGTGATTGTAAAGATAAAGTGGCGGATGGAAGGATTGACATGAAGGATTTGGAAAACCCTTGCCAAAAGCATACAAAGAATCTCTCGTGCATTATGATAACGTATCCGAGTACGTATGGTTTGTTTGACAGGGAAATCTTGGCCATTACTTCGATGGTGCACTACGATGGAGGGCAATGTTATATTGATGGTGCAAACACGAATGCCATGGTGGGTTACACAGCACCTGGATGTATTGGGGGCGATGTGTGCCAGATTAATCTCCACAAAACGTTTTCAATTCCTCGTGGTGGTGGTGGGCCAGGCATGGTCCTATTGCTGTTCGTCAGCACCTGGCTTCATTCTTGCCAGATTCTGTTTTTATTCAAAATGTTGGTGGTTCCCAGCCCTTTGGTCAAGTCTCTCAAGCAGCATACGGATCAGCGTCTATTCTTCCAGTTTCTTATTTATTACTGTGGATGCCTGGTTCACGGGGTCTCAAGACATGCACGGGGTATGCGATTTTAAATGCCAACTATTTAAAGAAGCGTCCTGACGGCCACTGCCCAGTTCTCTTTCTAGGGGAAAACGATTTCTGCGCTCACGAGTTTATCATAGATTTAAGGCCATCTAAAAAAAAAAACAGCACAAATTGAGGCAGAAGATGTGGCGAAACGACTCATGGATTATGGCCTTCACTCACCTACCCTGGCATTTCCTGTTGCGGGAACACTCATGACTGAACCCACAGAGTCAAAGCGGGAGTTGGATCGGTTGGCCGATGCACTTATTTCCACTCGTACCGAAATTGCATCCATAGAGGAGGGTGAAGAGAGCACAACGAACAACTTTCTCAAGAATGCCCCGCACACGGCAAAGTGTGTCACATCAGATGATTGGGACAGACCATACACCCGGAAAACTACTGCATTCCCTTCGAGCCATTCATACACCGAAAAGTTTTGGCCCTCAGTTTGCCGCATCGATGGAAGCTATGGGGACAGAAACTTGATGTGCAGTTGTGCATTGACTAATTTTTGTGAGTAAAACTGTTGCAGTGGGAGGCAGTATTTTTTAATTTATTTATTGCCAATTTTATGTTTTTATTTGTTTCTGCATCCGTTTCTTGGGTGATGGAGTGTTTTGGGCCTATTTGTGTCTGGTGTGATAAAACTGAACAGGGGAGAGGGATGTGATTGTGTGTGAGTGTGTGTCTGTCTGTGTGGTCGCAGAATGATTTTATGGTCTTATTCTTTATCTTGTCAAGTGCTCTTCCTTAGGATGTACAATAATTCCAATGCGAAGATGCCTTGCCCTTGCAATCGCCTGGATTTCTCCTGCTTATTATTCCCTTTGTTAATGCTGTTGTTGATTTGTCAAGGCAAAGCTTTACTGCAACCATACAAATGCATGTTTGTGGGATTTTTTTTTTTGTCAGGCCAAATGTGAGGGGAACTCAGGCGTCTGCCTTTCCCTCACCGTCGTCAAGAGTATTCCGGATGCTCATCACGCAAACGTCTCAGATGTAATTTTTTCTCAGTTTTGAATAATTTCTTGCACTTCGACAACGTCCAGCTTTGAGATAAATGGGGTTACGATGAGAGGGAAATTGTCTACACACTTTTTTTTTGGTGCATCTTTTATTTTTGTTTTCTCTCGTTGCTGTTAGAAAACATTGAACGAGAGGGTTTGCTGCCCTTTTGTTTTATTTGTCCTCTCAGCCTGACGGCCAGTTGTACACCGAAGTGCTCCTCGGCACCTCAGTTGGGACTGTCAATCGCATGCGCCAACTTTCCGTTGCTTTTTTGCATTGACGCAATTATTTTTATTTATTAACTGAAGCCGTTCTGCCCGGCGTGCCACTTTGATTGGATTGTGCGGGATTGCCCGCCAACACCATCAAACAAAACAGGCTGAAGAGTTTACTTATTTAAACGTCATCTTGTGTGCACGTATTTTCCTACGCTCTGTTAATGTGTACTCAGACAACGAGGGATCCGGAACTATGCGTGCGTGGAATTCTTCCTGCCATGTGGACTGCGGGCAACACTGCGGGGCTGCCACTTTTACTCCGCAGAGTTGTTGTGTCTTTGCAGGGTTGACAGGGAAATTCCATGCAGCCAGCTACTGCTGGTGTGTTCCTAAATGTTGTCACTCCATGCGAATGATGTGCTTCAGCGAGTGAGGGTGTTGGTTGGGTTTGTGTGCACTCTGATTCTGTTTGCTACTTTTTGTGCGGACACGCAACACTTGAGTGGTGGGAAAATGGAGCGGGGCGATGCATGGCTGCGTCCAGGCCATTGTTCAGTGCACGACGGTGTGGGGCACATTGCGGTGTTGACTCTGCGATGTGACTGCGTTTTCCTGTGCGGCAATGGTGGTGGGTGGAGGAGAGTGTTGACCCGCGGCGGGACGGTGGGATCGTGCCTCCCTTTGTGATTTTTACTTCACCCTCTGAAGGTGTGCACTTATCTTTAGTGTTAGTGATAGGGAAAACAGACAAACAGAAAACGTGAATATAATAAAATAGAAAAGGACAATAATGTGGCGGTGTTGTGGCCGATTGCACGTTGCGTTGCTGCGGGAGCGGTGGGCCTTGACTGTTTCACCGACAGGCGTTGCAGTGCGGCTGCATGGCGCACCGACCGCCCCGCCGTGCGAGTGCCACGCCCAACGCCGTTGGGACTGCGGGACGAAACAGCCGCGACTGTCCTTTGGAGCCAGCGACATCTGCTGGCCGCAGTTGGGCGGTGCGAGTGGGATGCTTCACCGCACGGGTGTTGTGATGGCACCTCGCCGTGGCATCTCCGACGATGGTTCAGACGCTGCAGCTCGACATGTGGCGGGGAGTAAACAGCAACCAAAGTGGACCATGAGCAGCAGCGTAAAGGACATCCTGCTGGAGGGAAGCACTCTCAGGACCGACATGAAGCTGAACGATTTCCTTCGGAGCAACTTGGGCGGCAAGGGCGTTGTGAAAAAAAATGAGAACGTCGCTATGGAGGTGTTTGTTCAGGAGCCGGATGCTTACGTACAAGACCAGCGGCTTCTTAGAATTATTTTTAATTTAACAGAGTACCAGGTGTACAAACTTCATCACAAGGGTGTGTTCTCTCTCGAGCAATGGAGGGACTATGAAGGAAAGGATACGGTCACTGCTCTTGCAAGGGGAAAACTAAACGCAGCCCTCACTCAGATACTGAGAGAAAGGCTAAGAGGAACGCAAGAAATGAAATTTACCATTTCCACTACGATCGAAGAAGTACTGTTCAAAGGAAGAGTCCGCGTCAAGGAAAAGAAGCTGAACGACTTTCTTACGATGGAATTGGACGGCAGGGGCGTTGTGGCCACCAATCGGAGTGTTTTGCTGAAGGAGTTTTTCAAGAACCCCAATAAGTATATCCGTGATAAGGGAGCGTTGAAAGAAGTACAGATAACCGATGCTTATGTGATGATGGAGAGGGCTGTAAGGGAGGAAATGGATTTGGAAGAAGTTGTACGCAAGCTTTACAAAAATGGTGTCAGCAATCTACTTGGGTGGTCAGAAGCTGCTGCGGAGGTCAAAGCAACTGTTCATGACATCACTAAACAATCCTTGGATGCAGCCCTTCAGGAAGCGAGGAACCGAACGACGATTGAAGCGTTGAAACTGGAGGGATTGTACGAGTCTGTGTACAATGCGAGTTGGCACCATGTGGTGGAAATTCCCGACGGCGATAAGCGAAAGAAAAAGAAAAAGGGGACGGTAATGAAGGTGAAGGAGGGGAAACCGAAACAGTCATGGACGTACAAGAAAGCTGGCAACACCTTCGAAAAGGATGACGATGTGCGGAAATCCGGTGAAGTACCTCCCAGGCTGATGGTGCTCACCTCGGACAAGGGATGGCCGTACACGCTGAATGCGCCGCATGGGACTGATAATGACTTCTTTATAAACTGCGAGGTGGATCGAGTGTGGCGGATCGTCAAGGGCGATCTAAACAAATTGTTCAGCAGTCACGGTGGGACCGACTTTAAGCCCAAGCAGCGTGTGTTGATTGGGACGCCCGGGATCGGGAAGTCGATGGCTGCCGGTTCGTACCTTCTCTACCAGCTGCTGCACTACGATGTGGAGGAGCTCCAAGTTGTTGTCCACTGTTTTGGAGAAACGGCGTACGTGTTTGACAAAACCACCAAAACCGTGACAATATACGAGGGTAACATAACATCCAAGAATGTTTTGCGTGGTTTGTGGAAGAGTGGAATGAAAGGGTATATTATTTACGATGTGGCAAAGAAAGGAACACCGCCCGACACAGGCTTTGCGCCCTCCACCGGATGGGGCATGATTGTGGTGTCATCCCCAGAGGTAAGCAACTATGATGAGTGGGAGAAGCAACTACAAGCCAGTCGAATCATCATGAATTGCCCCGACGAGATGGATGTGAAGGCGATGTGTGCATGGATGAAGCGCGGTCTGAAACCAAATGAGCAAGCGGGATACTGGAAAGAGGTCAAAGAACGCATGAAGAAAGTGGGGCCGATTCCACGTCACATCTTTGATGAGGAAATTTATATTGTTCGCTTGGGTGCCGTTGATGTTGCCTTGCTAGCAATCAAGGATACTGATGTTGAAGAGTACTTTACCCTGGGAGGAGAGAAGAAATGGTATTCCGAGGATCCGTCTCACAAACTTGTGAAGATCGTCCGGGCAAGAACAGAAAAAGGAGCTGAGATATTTCTGAACGCACCGATATGTGATGATATCGGGTTTCGAACTGCGGACCGTTTGGCGAAGGTAATTGGTCC